TTAATACAATCTAAACAGAACATAAAAATCCCAAATCCCACCCATCCTGGATAGATGGATAGACTCAATCAAAGAGGCCATAGCCATGAGCCTTCGGGACCTGAGCAGAGCAGTTAAGAACAAGGGGGCTTGTAGGTGTCTCATTCACGGGGTTGCCATGAGTCAAGACCAGCTTGAGGGCAGTTAACAACATGTCATGAACAAGATATCAGCCACTGTCTCCTTCAGTCTATTACTAAGTTGCTGTTTAAATGAGAAGTGTGCCCAAGGTGGAATGTCATGTCTTCCCAGGTTTCTGAAAAATGTCAAAATTTTGCAGAACCTGGTAAGCTACAAAAGTGGGAGGCAGATCAAACTCTGTGCATGGCTGGTGGGACATCTTTGGAATGGAACAGGACCAGTGTGGGCTGGTGAGTTCCATGTCAGTGGGATGAGGAATCTACTCCAGGTTTTAACCCAGGCTCTAAAGGAGCTTTCCAGAGTGCTGAAGCCTATCCCCTTGGATTGCTCCTTTAAAGTTCAGGCTGAAATTCAGAGTGATTCACCGTTCCACTGATAAAGAGGCCACCAATGGGCACGGCCCAGACTCCACACACAGTTATTCTGCATAAATTGAATTTTAAACATACCAAAAGATGTTAGCATACATGAAACAACATGATTAAAATCATTAAATTAACATTTAGCTGTTTCAAGTGTGATATTATTTCTAAAATTATTTAATAATTTGAACAGTTAACTGAAAATCAAGCAGATTTGACCAATAATTTATTGTGAAATCAGTTTGACAAATGATTTCGAATAGAATGAGTACAACAGATGATTTCATAATTTAAATGCACAGTTTAAAAAAAATTTAATTCAAAGATAAAACAATTAATCAATTTCTCTTTCCCTCCCTCTTAGTCACTGCTAATTATCAACTAGAGTAATTAGACTTGGACATGTGTTCAAATATGACCTCAGCCACAAATTTGCCTTTTGTTATTCTCCCCCAGCTCCTGTCCCTTCTGGTTTCAAAAAAGAATGTTGACCCTCTTCCCTATCTGGGTGAGATCCAACAATGAAGAAAGAAATATTTACCAAAGCATTTGTCTTATATGAACTCTTCAACCTGAAACCTATTGATTTGGAAACACGTCTCATCGATTCTGATGGCACCACTTAAGTGTGGTTATGAGATCTGTCAGAAGAACAACAAGAAGAAAAAGCTAGATATACATAATTAATACTAATTGCAGAGGCCCATGTACATGGTTCCACAAGTCATCTTTCATTCTTCAATTTGGGAATGTCTATTAAAGAGCTCTAATGTGCTGAGCCCAAGCAAGTTTGACACACTGACACAGCTTACTGTATATACTCATATATAAGTCTAGAAATCTTAATCAAAAGATTGACCCCAAAACGCTGAATCAGGTTATCCACAGTTCAATGTAAGTACTATGTTTTAACTCTTATGAAAACAAGGAAACTATGCCCTGGTGAAATGCAAGAGTGCAATCTCTCTGGAAAGCACTGACCCCCTCTACTCTTTCATCCATCCAGCCTTTAGTGTGAGCACAAACAGTTATGCCTGCTGGAATTTTGTAAATTCTTTGGTATCATTTTCCTATGTTGCATGCCCCCAACCTTTGACCCTCAACTTATACAAGGGTCATATCAAATTCAATAATTCCTTTGTTACACCACCCCACAACTTTTACCCTCAACGTAGACAAGGATCATATCAAATTCAATAGTTTTGGCCCCCAAAACCGGCCCTTGACTTATACATGAGGTTGATTTATACAGTTGGCCCTCCTTATCCACAGATTTTTTTATCCAAGGATTCAAGCATCCACGGCTTGAAAATATTCCAAAAAATATATTAATTCCAATAAGCAAACCTTGATTTTGCCATTTTATATAAGAGAGGCCAATTGATTATGCCATTGTAATTAATGGGACTTGAGTATCCATGGATTCTGGTATCCATGAGGGGTCCTGCAACCAAACCCCAGCAGATACCAACGGCCCACTCTAGTTGAGTATATATGGTATATTTTCACTAGACAGGCAAACAGATCATCCATCTCAATGCTCCAAGATTCAAGTGGGCAACTGCAGTGGGTCAGGGGCCACGTCTTGCCCTGGAACTCTCTGGGGGGCATGCAGAGTGCCAGAAATGCTTAAAAACAAAACAAGAACTGGTTGGAGGTTCACTTCTGGTTTTGAAACCAGATGTCTTAGAATCATATAGTTGAAAGAGACTCCAGGGGCCATCCAGTCCAACCCTATTCTACCATGCAGGATCTCACAATCAAAGCACCCCTGACAGATGGCCATGCAGCCTCTGTTTAAAAACCTCCAAAGAAAGAGACTCCACCACTCTCTGAGGGAGTGTGTTCCACTGCCCAACAGCTCTTACTGTCAGGAAGTTCTTCCTAATGCTTAGGTGGAACTCTTTTCCTGTAGTTTGAGTCCATGACTCCATGTCCTAGTCTCTGGGGCAGCAGAAAGCAAGCTTGCTCCATCTCAGTATGACATCCTTTCAAATATTAAAACATGGCTATCATGTCACCTCTGAACCGTCTCTTCCCTAGTCTGAACATACTCAGCTCCCTAAGCTGCTCTTCTTCTGCTAAAGAGTGTCAAACGACCCTGCAACCCATACAAAAAGTGATTTGCCTCTTCTGGAAACTCCCAGGAAAAACAACTGACCTATTAAGGGTGAAGAAAAAGGGCAGTCCAAGGAGAAGGCTATGGGCCACATTCAGCCTTGGGGCCACATATCTCCCACCCCTGCTCCAAATTGGATGTGGGATCATAAGCATTTCGCCAAAGGGAAAGCTGAGGAGGTAGTCAAAGGGTGACACTTCGACCAGCTGATCCCACATCAGTTTGCTCCTTTCCAGGTTCAACACAGCTTAAATAGGTTCTAGATCAAAAACAATGAAACAATGAGCCCCAAGGGCAATCCGATAACTGAGTTGCTCCCTCCTTCCCCACACTTTCCATGCCTTCTACTGAAAGGCAAACCCAAGGCACACACCCCTACAAGTCACAGGAATTTTTAAGAAAGAGATAATCCTCAAGGGTAGACTCCTTCCCTACCCCCTGGATCACAAGACCTAAAGAGGTAGTACCAGGGCCCTGTCCTTCACCGAAAGGATGCCAAGGTATATACCAACATCCTTACTCTCCTCTTGCTGCCTGCTCACCTATTTACAGACACTACCCAAAAAACTTCTAGTCCCAAGTGTTTCAGATAAAGGCGACTCAGCCTGTATACTCACTTTCCACAACCGGGTGCCTTCCAGATGTCAGGTTGCAGAAGGCAAATTGGCACCTTTGCCAGAATGGAGAACGGAGGACCTAGAAATGTCTAGCAAGAACATTCCTCCAATGCAATTCTATAGTACACCTGGGCTGGAAGCTGATCATAGACTTGCACTGGATGACCTAGAAATATTTAGAGAGAACACTTCTCTAGGCGTTTCTAGGTCTTCCGACATGATTCTATAGTATGCTTGGGCTGGAAGCCAACCATGGAATCACACTGGAGGACCTAGAAATGTCTGCCGAGAACTTTTTTTTCCAGATGTGGATAAGTGAAACTGTGGATACTGAATCTGTGGATAAGGAAGTCATACCGTACTACTCCTAGCTGGATCAGACCAAGTAGTTTTGTTTATTGCGATGGTATGGTTATTTCAGTATTTGCAATTTAGTCGCATGGTGAACTTTACATCACGATCTTTTCTTATTCATTGTCTTTATGACATCCCATACATTGTGCTTTGTATTTGATTGCATTTGATGGTCAGTTTACAGTGGGGTTTATAAACCCTTCACCCCCAACCACAAAATATTAATTGGATTTGAATGTAAACATTCCAGAATTTGCTTTCAAATGTGGCATTCAAAAATTGGAAATTTGGCAGCCTTTTAACTATTCTATTTGAGCAGCCTACTAAATATTGAAGAGAGACAATGTGGCATAGTGGTTTCAGTCTTGGACTAGGAGTCTGGAGACCATAATTCAAATCCCAGCCATGGAAACCCATTTTGGTTATTCTTGGGCAAGTCACACTCTCTCAACCTCAGAGGAAGGCAATGGATAGCCACCTCTGAACAAATATTGCCATGAAAACCTGGCGATAGGTTCACCATATGTCAGAATTTACCGGAAGGCACACAACAACAAAACATTTAAACTTATTCATCACATGTCAGACTTAGCATGTATATGTATTATTGGCTTTGTTGTTGCATGCTTTCAAGATTTTCCAACTTTTGACAACCCTAAGGTGAACTATCATAGAGTTTTCTGGGGCTGAGAGTGTTGGCTTGCCCAAACTCACCCAGTGGGTTTTTATGGCTGAGCAAGGAATCGAACCCTGGTCTCCAGAGTTGTGATCCAGCACTCAAACCACTACTCCACACTGGATCTTTCGTATTGACTACTTATTGATTTTTAAAGAATGGTCATCATGTATTATTGATTAATCACACATAAGGGCCTAAATCCTTCTGTTTAGCCTGATATGGATGGGAGCCATTGAACCAATTGCACTTCTGTTGCCTATAGCAGTTGATCAAATGAGTCTTATGCCAGTTGGGAGTAATCCACAGGATTTCAGCCAAGAATTAGTATCTCCATGGTATTTCTTGACTGTTCAGTGTGGTGGAGTCTCCTTCTTTGGGGGTTTTTAAGTAGAGGCTGGATGGCCATCTATTGGAAGTGCTTTGATTGTGTTTTCCTGCATAGCAGAGAGTTGGACTGAATGGCCCTTGGGGTCTCTTCCAACTCTATGATTCTATGATTCTATGAATGTAAATATATGATATTTCAGTAATCTGTATGATAACTCTTTATAAATGGTCTCATTGGAATTGTAAAGTAATAGTTTGACTACTGGATTTATGCCAAAGGGCCCTGGCTCATCAGTAACATACATTTAGGCAATGCATCAGACCCTTAGACAGTCCTAAGTTGTTTTGCTGCCTGAAGTAAAAAAAGACAAAATGGTACACATATACCCTCCATTCCACCTAATGTCTTCTAGTGCATGGTGCTAGTTTAGTCTGTACAGGACAGGTTTTGAATCATAGGCTATGCATGCACTCCAGAAATAGTCCACGTTGACATCACTTTAACTGTCCTAGCTCAATGCTATAGAATTCTGGGAACTGTAGTTTGTTGTGGCACCAGACCTCTCTGACAGAGAAAGCTAAACATCTTACAAAAATACAGTTCCCAGAAGTCCTAACATTGAGCCATAGCAGTTAAAGTGGTGTCAAACTGCATTATTTCTGCAGTGTGAATGCAGCCATATATAAACCTGGCCTACAAGAGAGGAGAACATCAGGAAGGTTAAGGAAGAATACCTGGGATCCTGCCATTCCTGTCTCCTGCAGCCACTGCCCACTGAGGCCATTGCCTCATTCTCCCTAATGACAGAGCCAGCCCTGTTTGTTTCTCCACATTATATGGAAATATATACACATAGAAGGATGTGCATGCATATTCTGAATCTAGTGCTGCATCAAAAATATGCATAAACATGAGTTATCCTATCGATTCAATGTAAATCAGGACGAAATTTGTAAATGGACTGAATGGGTCTAAAATACAGTGAGCCTTCCATCTCCATAGATTTTTTTATCTGTAGATTCAAGCATCCACAGTTTGAAAATAATTTAAAAATATATACATTCCAAAGAGCAAACCTTGATTTTGCCACTTTATATAAGGGACACCATCTTATTGTGCCATTGTATTTAACGGGACTTGAGCATCCACAGATTTTGGTATCCGTGGGGGATCTTGGAACCAAACCCCAGTGGATGCCAAGGTCCCACTGTATATTTTCAAAATGCCTTTCTATAATGTAAATCAAAAGTCAATTCACAGCAATTCTTTAGAATCTAAAATCAATGTACGGTAACTATTTAAAAACTTTTGGAAATGTTAGGAGTTTCACACATTGCTCAGCAGTGCCAGGGAAACATGTATCAGCTGATGCTATAAAATGGAGAAATTGTGCCTAATCCTTCCATATTGGCACATATTTTATATGAGCCGTCTATATATAGATAGTTGCCTCATCTAGGGAGGAGGCTGTTTCACACGGATGCAGGAACTCTGGCAGCATCACCATGGTTACTTTTCAAGACTTTCATACACTAACGGCTGAGCCTCTTCCCCAGCCTGCCGCCCTCTCAGAGGTGTGGCACTACTTCTCCCATTATCCCCAGCCAGAATGGGTTATTGTGCATGACTGGTTCTGCAGTCCAACAGATCTGATGGGCACCAGGGCAGGGAAGAAAAGAAGGTTGGATTGTGTTGGGGAATTATATAAAAATGAGTTACTTTGGGATGAATGGGAGATGTGCATCTTGCAAGTACGCTATGAACCGTGCAAAGAGAAGAACATCTAAATCTACAGTATTTGTTTTATTCTCTCTTTCAAATGCTTGAACCTCTTCAGCCATGAAACAGAGAGAAAACTTCCTCCAAGCCATTGAGCAAACACCTGCCAGCAACTAAAAGCAAGAGCACAGGACTAAAATAACCAGGAACAGCAGATTTCCTGGGCTGTCAAGGGGTGTGTGTTTGCAGAAATGCTGGAGAAGGGAGGCCCACTTTGCCTTGAAAATGCACCCTTGACTGGCATGACCATTAGGGAGTGTGAGGCTGGCACCACAGATCTGGGGTGTCATGAAATGGCAGTAAATTTTCTAGTCTTTCAGGCTGTCGAGTCTTAGGAGAGAGGCTCATGGGGCTTTTTCTGTCTCATGTGCCCCAAAGAATGTGGCTAGCTTTGGACATTCATGACCCATGAACAGAAGAGAGGTTGCCATCTGCTGATCTATCCAGGCAGCCAAATGCCTTGGGCTTAGAGCTGCTTAAAACTGAATTCCCATTCCCTCCAACCCTTATGTGTGAGTTTGAGTGAAAATACTTTGTGAGCGAACATGATAGACTGGAAGGGAGAATGCACTTTGCTCGGACTCAGAAGTGCCCTGTTCTTGCTTGGAGAGGGGAAATAGCCCAGTGGTAACACAAGAGCGTTGGACTAGGACTCTGGAGATCAGGGTTCAAATTCCAGTTCCACCACATATACCATTGGGTGACCTTGGGCAAGTCATGTTCTTTTTGCCTTAGAGGATGGCAATGCCAAATTCCTTCTGAAGGAACTCACCGAGAAAACTCCATGATAGGTTCAACATAGATCACCATAAGCCAGAAATGACTTGAAGGCACACAACAACAACAACAACAACACAGGAGAGCATGCAATGCTTATAAAAATGTCCCTTGTTGGAATGTCTTGGAAATTTCAGGAAAGAGTTGCTGAAGCTTTGTAAACCTAGTTTCTATCAGAGGTGTAAAGTAGCTCAATTTCTTCACATCTGTACTTCCTTTATTAGTAACTCATACATTACTAAAATGAATGATTCCTGGTTGTACTTTGTTTTTCTCTCTTTCTGTCTTACTAATACAAGCTGCAGCACTATTCTGATGATGAAGTAATGTTTGATTTTCCTGTGTTTGATTTTTTTAAATCATTTTCTGATTTGTTCCTTGTTTTTATGTGCATAATTTTTTTAAATAAAATAATCTGTCATGTTCTCCCTGTCTCCAATCCAGTTGGTTCTGAAAGTGAGTTCCCACAGAGAGTATAGGAAATGGAAGAAAAGTGTGCTTTGTGTATGCTCAGAAATCCTCTCATTCATTGCACTGTGTTACCACCCAGGTGCAAAAAGAAAAAGAATACCTATCAAATGTATAGGTCCTATAGTACACAGAATCTAAAGTATCCATGCCCTCCCTTGATGGCTGTCCCCCTAAAATAAATAGTGAGAATAAAATACATACTGGGATTCAGAATAAAAAAAAACTGGGGAGAGAAGAAAGGGAATTTTCCATGGCATCTTTAAGACTAACCACTTCATTTTGCAGGAGCTTTTGTAGACTGCAATCCATTTTCTCAGATGCAACAGTGAAGAACAATATTCAAGCCTCAGGTATATATACACACACAGCTAAAGAGTTGAGAGAGGAGGGTGGAGTCAAAGGAGAATCAGAAAGTGAAAAATTATAATCTTGGTCACCAACCTTTAAAAAGTTAGTTTTGCATAAACATCTGGAAACTAATCCACAGGTCTGCTGCTGCTGCTGCTGTGTACCTTCAAGTCATTTCTGACTTATGGCAGCCCCCAAGGTGAGTTTTCTGGGCAAGGTTTCTTCAGAGAGGGTTTGCCATTGCCATCCTCTGAAGCTGAGAAAATGTGACTTGCCCAGGGTTATCTAGTGGGTTTCCATGGCCAAGCCAGGATGATGATGATGATGATGATGATGATGATGATGATGACTTTATATGTATTTATATCCCACTTCCCCCCCCCCCCCAAGTTGGAACTCAAAGAGGCTTACAATTAAAATATATATATAAATACAATTAAAAACAGATGCAGGATTCACACCCTGGTCTCCAGAGTCATAGTCCAACTCTCAGCGCTCAACCTAATGGCCTCTGAAGTAGTAAAACAAGGTAGTCGTGGTTTGAGAGTTAGGCTATGACTCTGGAGACCAGGGTTTGATTCCCAGCTCTGCCATGAAACCCACTTGAACAAGTCACATGCTCTCAGCCTCAGGGGAAGGCAATGGCAAACCTCCATGATAGCTTTGCCTTAAGGTCACCATAAGTCAGAAGTGACTTGAAGGCACATAACAACAAATTCTGCTTTCAGGCAATCTGAAGATCTAACCATGTTAGTCTGTAGAATCAGTATGTAGAGAGATCTTGTAGCACCTTTGAGACTAACTGGAAGAAAGAAGTTGGCAGCATGAGCTTTCACAGACTTTAGTCCATCTGAGGAAATGGACTAAAGTCTAGGAAAGCTCAGAAGTTGGTAGTATGAGCTTTCATAGACTTGAGCCTCCTTCCCCAGATTTCAGCTTTCTGAGGATGGAGGCTCAAGTGTTTGGAGGCTCAAATCTGCCAACTTCTTTCTTTCAGTTGGTCTCAAAGGTGATGCAAGATCTCTTTACATGCTGCTTTTACAGTCGATTAACATGGCTATATCTGAATTTCCCAACAAGCAGAAATTACTGCTTTTGGAAAATTCAAAGATATAGTTGTGTTAGTCTGTAGAATCAGTATGTAGAGATATCTTGCAGCACCTTTGAGACTAACAGAAAGAAAGAAATGGGCAGCATGAGCTTTCGTAGACGTCTGTCTACTTCCTCAGATGCTTTTGGCATATACCATATATGTCTGCCCCTGGCTTCGACTCCACTAAAAGCATCTGAGGAAGTAGACTTTAGTCTAGGAAAGCTCCTGCTGCCAACTTCTTTCTTTCAGTTAATCTCAAAGGTGCTCCAAGCTCTCTCTCCATACTGCTTTCGGGAAAGTTAGGTCTCTGAACAAATTTTACCAACAAAACCCTATATGCTAGGGTCACCATAAGTCAGAAATGACTTGAAGGCACACAACAACCACAACCAATTCTGCTTTCAGGAAATGCAAAGACCTGGCCTGTCAAATGAGAATGTCCTTCCCTCTGAGGAAGCACTGTAGACTTCAGTCCCAGGGAAGCTCCTGCTGCCAACTTCTTTCTTTCTTTCTTTCTTTCTTTCTT